GACCTTAAGATATTCATATAAATAAAAAAGATGCGTTCGCAAAATTAAGTCAGTTAAAATTTAACATTGTTTATGCCAGAACTATATTTTTTTTTTAAATAATAAAAAAGAGTGTTCAAAATGGTTTATTTTGTACATATTTTAATATTTTTCATTCAAAATATTTTATAAACATAAAAATTGGCTTTTTTTTAATCAGAAAAAGTCATAGGGAAAGCAGTTAAACAAGAAAAACTTTTCTAAATCATTTATTTTATCGTTAGGTATTATTATAATAATAGACAGATGTCATCGTCTCTCGAAATACAATATCTTTCTTATTTCGCTGTTGATAGCCCGACACGTGTTCCGCAGCCATCTTGTATTTTCTTGCGCGCGTGGGATTGTGGGATCTCTCTTATGACTGGATCTAGTTTCGAGAACTCTCTCGAGTCGATCGCGATTGAACCTCGTTTTAGTCGAGATTGAAACGGTCGATGGAGGTTGCACTAGGCGAACAGGGTATAAGGCTCTAGTTTAGTAGTGTTACAGAGTATAATACGTATATTTTAATATATTTTTTAAAAGAAACAAAATCACTGAGAAATGTTACGTGTGTTTAACAACGGGTTCGGAAAACTTTGAAAATGTCAACAACGGGTTCGGCCGAACCCGCGCGAACCCGCTGAATATCACCACTGGATATAGCCAAAGATTGCAGCACCACAGCACTAGCGAAAATTTAAATTTGCCGACTGGAATTCTTTTGGATAACCGACTTTTGGATAAACGACGCTCTATTCTATATAAGGAAGTGAAGTTATAAAATTCACTTTTTTCTTTTGGTTAATGATAGCAAAGGAAGATTTGATTCAAATTTCAAACAGTCAAAATCTTGATAAAATTAAAATCCCAACAATTTAAAATATTTTTATTGCATCAAAATAGAGAAATTGCATTAAAAGTAAATATATGAAGAGACAACCTCAACAAATTAAAACAATTTCAAAGTCTTAATGCAAATTATAAAAAACTAAGAATTTGTCATGATAGGAATATTGTAATTGTTTTTCCTACACCTAAAAACACATTTAAGTTATAAGTTTTGCCATTACTGTTCATTACGTAAATAAAATGCTTGCATAAAAGTAAAACCACCACCATTTTTCAGTTAATATTGAAAGCTACGTCTTTTATCACAATTGACAGATTTTCAATAATCTGTAAGTCCAAACATGCACAGAAGAATCTGCTTATTGTAATCACTTTGGGACTTGTTTATACTGATATTATTATTTATTACTAAGCAAGCTAAGTAAATAAGATTATAGGTAATATAAATTCTGGTTTTACTGACTAACATTAAAAGGACATGTTATTAATTTAAAGTAATTTGTCCAGTGTTGTTTATCTGCTGTTTTGAAGTACTGTCTTTAACAGATAGCATATAACTGAAGAAGGAAATACAACAATTTATATTACTATCCTGACTAAATTTATAACAACTAGTGCATTTTAATTTATATGTTTGGGATGTGTTAATTCCAATAACATTAAACAACTGATAACAATATTCATGATTACAATAAGCAGATTATACTGTATATAGAAAAGCAAAGTTTCAATTGTCTTTAATTCTTGCATTTGAACATCCAAACATTTAGATCTTAAGTTAATAATACTACTAATAATATTTACAAAATTTTGTACTGAATACTTTTCTAATAACCTGATTTTTAGTTTAATCTTCATTCAAAATAACTAGTGAAAGATCATTTCTTATTTTGAATAATTTTTAGGATCTTTGAATCCTAAAGAAATTTCAAAATGACTACAGATAGATTTGAAATGAAATATTATAATCTACAATTTATTCTTTTAAGCATTATATAAGAATAAATTTAAATAAAATTTAAGACTTTGTAAAGTCATTTTTAAATTATATAAAAATTGCATTCAGCTCTTCTAAAAACTCTCAGCTTATATTTCCTTTTGAAGTCTGCAATTGTTCCATTTACTTCATGGTATTGAATTTCAATTATTCTAGCAATTAATCTTATTCAATATCTTTCATTAAGTATCACTCAAATAACATTTATTTTATTTTAGAATAAATTACATTATTTTACATCATATAAAAGGTATCTCCATTTCAGCACAAAATATTTAGGAAAAGTTTTTAGTGTAATTAAGTCATCATGTGCCTTTGGCATGCTGCCCCAAATTTGTTTTTTTTTTTTTTTTTTTACCATATTCTGGTTAAAAAGATTAAGGTTAACACTTTTATTTATTAGAGAAAAAGAAAAGTTTAAAAGAAGCCATATACAATTACAATTCATTTACCAATAAAATATTCAACATGAATACATGCAAAAGCAGCTTAGCTATAGTAAATAATAATAATATGTATAATTAGAAAATAATATTTTTATTCAAGAGTTGGGCTATGTACAGTATATGTGGCTTACTGAAGGCAATTTGGGAAATTCATTAGTTCTTTGGGGGGGACAAAAGCTGCATTTTATTGTCCTCCTACAGATAGTAAAGCAACACTTGACAAGTTTCCAGGAACTGTTTATTTCCATGCTGGGGAAGGAAAGTGGAAGGAGTGCATACCAATGCAATTTGTTAAGTGTCATTCTTCCAAATTAATTAATAGATATAGATTCTAAAAAGTAAATTGTTAATATGGTAACTATTAATTAAATTCTGGTTTTATTTGTGAATTTCTTTACTAATGTATATAAACTCATTCTTAAAAGAACTACCCTATTTTCCTAATGGACCTGGTCTTTTCCACCCATGCACACTAATGTTTGTTGCTTTCCTTCAAGTAGTTGGAAAATATATGTCATAAAATATGATAAATTGATGTATAAATTATATGTAGAAGAATTGTGTTCAATTTAATTAACAACAGTTTTCAAAAACAAGATTAAAACAGATTTTCTACAGGATTATTCAAAGGGCTAAATTATTCATTATGGAGCTTATTTTGAAATTTACTTTGAGTAAAAATGTCCTATAAACTTGGATCCTATTCTCAATAGTTACAGAGAAATTCACTATAAACAGGCATAACCTCAGCTAATTTGAAAGTTAAAGATAAAATGCATTTTCTTGTAATAAAACTATTGTAATAACATTAAAAAAAGTTGTTACAGATCCATTTTGCATCAATGTTTATAAAGTTAGAGTTTACAAAAAGTTTTCAAAAATATCTCTGTTAATATGCATATTGAAGTTCATGAACTGTGCACATTACTCTGTATAACTCCTCATCCCTATCCTTGATTAGAATATCACTATAATATGCACAAATAGTTCCTCATGTGTCTGTGCCTTCATCTGGTACACAATAACTTTCATCTGTCTTCCATACATAATACTCTCATGGGGATGTATTGTGCACTGTTTATAGAGAATTACAGTAGAGCATCATTTATCTGAAAGTCGATCAACCAAAAGTGTTCCATTTGGACTGTGTCATGCTGAATCAAACGTTTTTGATACTAGATTAAATTCTAAAGTATAATTTTTTTTTGTTTTTATATTTTTCAATATATTTATTTTGTTTGTACAAAATAAAGAAATAATTTTTAATGATACAATAGCTGTAATTATTATTTTAAAAAATTTACATTAGGCTTAACATTGGCAAAAATTCAATGCGAAGCAACACGCAATGGAGTAAAATTTCAACATGGTATAGGTTAATATATTTTTTTGTACATAATCGGTTATCCAAAAAATAAGTTATCCGAACAACCCGAGTCCCCAATTGATTCGGATAAATGATGCTCTACTGTACTCCATAACTACTGAGGTGAAGACCCAAGTTTAAAGGTCATATTTTGCTCAAAATGACTTCTGAAATACATGGCAGTACATCTTCCCACATCACTCTGTATATTTAATATTTTCACAACATTACCAGATACAAAATATCATTATATATACATTACAAAAATCAAATTATAAAATATTGTAAATAACTGACTAAAGATAGGTGAATTAGAGTTTATTCTCAGATAGTAACATTGAAACTATAAAAATACAATTGTTTAATCAGTAAACATTCTTTGGCAAATTTTGTCACAGCCAAATTTTACACATTTGAATAACAGTTCATATATGTATTGTTACTTTTCTGTTTATCAAAATATCATTTATAGTATTCTCTTCTATCATCATCATCATCAAAACACATATACATACCCACATAAAAATGAAGTTACTTACAATTTATAAAAAGAAATATGGAGTAATAAATTTTCATAAATTGTATNATGGTCGGATTGCTGAGTGGTTAAGCTATCAACCTACCGCTATGGGAGACCCAAAAACGTATCCAGCTGAGTCGAAAAACCCGAAGTGCTATGTCATCCTGGATATGTTAGACAAGTCATCAAGAATATTTTGCGTGGGGCCCTTTCGTCTGTCCCATTGTAGACCTGGCAGAATTTATGATAAGTCTGATGAAATGTCCCTCCTAGTGCCAAAAGAACAGAATGAGCAAACGAACATCATATTAATGTAGTTTATTTTAATGATTATTATACAAACAATCAATCGTTAAAAATATATTAAATAAAATTGTATTAAAATGATCTTTGAGGAAGAGAGAAATTTTAAAAACATTAAAGCATTAAAAAATATTCGTAAAAAGATTTAATAATAAATGAATAAGAAATTTTTGGGAGTTCCTTTCCGTCTTGTGGGTACTAAGAGGGCTTTTTTAATCATATCCATCGCGGCTTAGGCCAAATTAAGGTGATGGCTAGGCCCAACATATCCGGTACGGGCCCAGATAAAAAATTCCCGGGGATTTCGACCATCTGTATTCATTTCCGGGTCCCCATGGTGATAGGATGATATCATAACCGACTCGGCCCTCGGCCATGTCAGCGGTACTACTATTAAATTACCACTTATCGATATGTGATAATAAATACAGTATATATTAGTTTAAAATGTTTTTATATAGACAAGATCCATTAGACATTTTAATATGAACTTACATCCTTTCACTATCCAATATTGTGTGATTTCCATTATGGTTATCAGAAAGTGAAGTACAGTCATCGGAATTTTTATCTACAGAATGACATGATTTATTCTGGTTTCCCAAAATTGGAGCCAATTTCTTTTCTATAGATATAAAAAAGTAAATGTGTCATTATCACTCTAATTTATAAAGACTGTTGTGGTTTATTCTTAATATAAAGTCATTAAAATACCTTCTTCTGAGCACCGTACTTCATTCTGAGATAAATAATTAAACTGTTTTATTTTTGCAGTTTCTTTTATCACAGGTTCGTAACTGGCCTTCTCAAATTTATGCTTTTTCTCACTGAATGTTAAATACTCTGGCTCGGATTTGTATACATGTTGCATATCCTAAACAAATATATGCTCAGGTAACTTGATAATTATTTGTTTAATGCAATTTTCAAAATTTCAAATGAAAATATTTACCTTCTGAGGTTTAGTGGAAACTGGTTTGGCACCAGGATGCTTAGAATTACAGACTGGATCTAGGGATGATCCATCCAATGTACTTCCACTAATATCACTGTCTGGATTCAAAGAGTTATTAGCTGTCGGAGGAACTGGAGATGATACTGGGGAAATGTTATGAGGCAATGGTAGAGCTTCGTTATTTCTTAATACATTTGGCTGTACAAATTAATGATATTAAATAAATTAAAAACACTGAATTATTCCATAAAAGGAAAGTAGAATAGTTACATACAGTGCTTGCAGTTGGGGGATTAACTGTATGCTTTGTCATTAAAACAGTAGTTGTTTTTCTTTCCTTTGTTGGAGTATTATCATTGCCTAAAAGATCTGGATGAACCAATTGCTTTGCAGCTTGAACTACTTCGAGTACTTTCTGGTCGACAGTTTTTGCAGAATGAGGAACGATGGCATATTTACCCTGTATTCAAAGTTTAATAAATTTAATTACCTAAAAGAATAACTTTTGCTAGTGTTAAAACTAATTTAACAATAATATCAATACAGAGAACTTTTAACATAGCAATTGAATAGATTTATCATACCTTATACCTTACCTTACATAATTTATTTTAAAGTTTGTGGATGAGGAGGAGAAAGAACAACACAAATAGAATTCTGTTAGAGATGTAAGGTTTCAAACAAAGAGGGTATACAAAAGCACATAAAATAGTTTTTGTTAGAGCAGAACAAACATATAATTTTTAAGGCTGACAATGAAAATGACAAAATTTATCCATTTAAATACTAAGTTTCACTCTCCAAATAAAGAATACACATAAATATAAAAACAAACAATAATTATATTTATTTATTACTATATATATTGCTGTGATGTTCCAACATACATAATCATTATAGAGAAGGTAATAAAATATGTAAAAGAAATATTGGAAGTTAAATAGGTGGGATGTCAGTCGACGTGACATTCTGTTCAATCTCATTCCCTGGAAGACGATATCTATCGATAGGAAGTCATGTGGACTAGCCATCTGCCATTTTCTGGAAGGATGAAAGACTTGAATTTAACCTGGATTCCCCACAACCTCAAAGTTCAGTCAGCATTCGAACTTCACTATTACAGTTGCAAATTTTCTGGGAGACAAAAATTTAAAACATGAAATCAGGATGCATAAAGCTGTCGATCTAATCCAATCTTGATTATTGAAAAGTCTGTAATATCGTGTTTGGTACACGTGAAAGAATACTTAGATGTATTTTGGCTTTATGTTTGAAAATATTAAATATTGTATAACTAATCACAAATAAACTCTTCAAGGCTACAGTAATAATTCTCAATATAGCAACACGAAAAGAATATATAAATACCTATCAAAGTGAGACATTTATAATTTTTTTTCATATATTAATAAGCTATACGCTTATACCATATTATACCGTGAAATGACCAGCATACCAAAAACTCTGAGGTTATCTAATTAAATGTTAAAGAAAACATTCTTCCCAGTACAATAAAATAATAACATCTTAATTTGACTGTCTTAAAATCAGGAAAAGAGTTTTTGTTTACAAGACAATAAAACAATTAACAATTTATTGACATTAATAGTAGTAGTGGTAAGTCAGTGTGAGCTGCACTGATCATCTACCAAGACCTTAAAAATAACACCTTCTCAAATTTCACATAAAGGGCATGTTAATGGATGTAAGCTGAGATAATTTACAGGAGTTTCTTAAATTTAATGTTTATTTTTGTGTTTTTGAATAGAATAACAATAAAATACACATAAAAAAAAGCACTTTTGGAATTCCTAGAGTATTTTACATGGTTAGAAAGAAGATAAAATGAAGAAATTAAACATATAATTGTAGTTTTTGATGTAATGCTGACAGTTTCAGTATAAAAACTTTGTTTTTTTAAAGCACTCACTAGAGAGGGATGTATAACCTTACTTAAACTGGAATGCTGGCATTTCCCCTGGGATAAGCCAACATACCAGTTTTTACCATATGGAAATATCTGATCATGGTCTCCCAAATAGACTGGTCATTCCACAAAAATACATTAAAAGCATTTCACATTTTCTATTATTTTGAAAATGATGTAATAGTGTCAGCCAGTCTGTATCAAGTATTTTATTTATACAAATAAACCTCCCATTATTATTAAGTTGTGAGCCTTTCAATTAAGGCCTATGCTCATAAGCAGCAAAATTAAAGGACAACAAACATCAATGCTAAATTCTATCAATGGCTGTTTCATATTGTGTAGAACCTTCAGTGATATCTGAAACTGTTCTACACTTTTACAGCAATAGTATATGCTGGCAACCAATTGGCTAAATAAACCTCAGTTTTACTCATTATGCACTTTTATTAAAACTGGAAAGATTTGAAGAATATTTAAGATAATATTAATTGAAGAAGTGATAAAAGCTCTATTTTTTATATGATGTTGCATCAAAAATTACAAAGAGTTAAACTTATAAAAAAAAAGGCCCAGAAAGATTATTTTCAAAAAATATAGATTGAACTGTGAAATTAAATTTATAAATTCCATAACTTTTAATTAACAATATTTATTTTAATTAATATATATATTCACACATCAACTACCATGAATTATAAGAGGAATTTTATCAAATCATCAATTATTGGTTGTGTTCTGGTCTAGTATATAGTGATGGAAATTGTTAGTGACTATGAATGAATATGATAAATGGCAGAAGTCACTGATGTTTGCATCACTTTAATTTTGCTATCTGAGAGCAGTACTTTTACAAGACATTAGAACTACTTAGTGATTTTCAATATAACATGATGGATTACATTCAAAAAATAATGTTAAAATAAAACCAGTGGTAACCTTTTATATTTTTTATCCAAAATAAGATATAATTAATACCCTAATATATTCTCAAATTTAAAAAAATGTTATAAAATAACATTTGTGATACTTATATAAAAGTTATTTTCAGTTTAAAAAAAATTGATGTACAGAAAAAGAATATCTTTGAAAATGACCATCAGCTCTTCAAAAACAGCTAACTATATTTTTAAACAAGAAATTGATTTAATTACATCTCATTTCAAAAATAAATAAAAAAAACTAGGAAGAAATATCTTAAAATATTACAGATATATTTTAAAGATTGTAATTAGAAATAAATATAAAATATTTCAAATGTCATACAGATGTCTTTTTTTTCATATCCAGAAACAAGTATGCCAGAAGAACATCTTATGCATACTTGTTTCTATAACTTTACATGTAGTTCAATCCTTATATTTACATATTTCTGAGTGGAGATGAGTGTACACACACACACACACCTCCACTCACAAATATATATAAAAAGGTCAACTTCACTAGTGTTTTAATTGTGATCCTAGATATGAAAATAATTTATATGAAGACCTACAAATAATTTACTTTGTATTTGTCTTCAATATTGCAATTTTTAAAGTATATTTGTAATATTTTACTCATTATCATATTAATTAAGGTTATTTAAAATATAACATTTCCAGATTATCAAACAATAATAGAAAATTTCAGCAATTTATTTCCAGAAAGCACAAAATTAAAGTAGATTTTGAAGTACAGCTTTTAAGGAAGAAAATTCAATATGAAATAATTCAAAACTCTTCAAATTTTAAATTCTCTCTAAAAATTTTTATATTATTGTAAATTATAAAATTAAAACCCAAAGTAATGCTTCAAAACATATGTAGTTTTGTAGAGCCAAAGCATATTTATTCTTATTAGAAAATAAAGAACAGCTTGTTATTTATAAAATAGCTCAGAAAATTAGTAAAATGTCAAATATTTTCAGTATGTATTTTAAATTAATTATTGATAACACAATAAAATGAAATAAGCACATAATGGTTAAATTTTATTAAAAGAAACCATTATTATTATTATTATTATTGTCATTATATAATTGTATATTGTCCATATTAATTCAAAAATGAGTTTTAATTAATTACTGAATTAAATTCAAACTGATCCTCCTTCAATTCTTCTTTTCTTTGGAATACTTTAGAATAAATATTAGTATCTTTAATTTTAATTTTAGGGAAAAATTAAAATTTTCTTTAGTATAAATGTCTACTATTATTCTTCAGGAATTCATTTTGCTGTTGAAGGAATATTTCATCTTGTAATTCATACTTGTTTTTAAATTACCATAATTCATAATTAAAAGCATAAGTAAGTTTCAAGTTTAAGTAATTACATAAGCATAATAATGAGCCATATAATGTAATTTAATAAATATAAATTTTATTTTAAAAAATTTTAAATGTCTTTTCTTTTTTCTAAGCATTAATTATTTTTAAATTAAAATATATTACAATTGTAATTGCTTTCAGAAGAAAGTTCCTCAAATGCTGTCATACCTTGCAATCTTTAGTTACATAGGCAATTGCAACTGCAATGGCTACAAGCTTCACATACAGATTGGTGATCACACACTCAAAATGAGCCACAATATAGTTACAAACTGACCAATAAAATTCTAGAAATTCAACAGTTTAGGTTACAATGGACAGTATGATTAGAAAGATGAACCAAACAAAGCCACTCTGTAACTTTTAACAATAATGAAGAAATTTAATACTCTTTTTTAAATTAAAGCTGACATTTGTTCTTGTTGATCAATTCTATTAATCATGATTTCAACTCTGTGTTCCATTTTAAATAGTCAAAATAACATAAATGTGAAGACATTTGTTTATTAGCTGTCTACTTGCAATAAATATTCAGAGGAAATTTGCTAGTTAATGGAATAGCCATCACAGTTGCATTTGTCTTTGCAGATAAAAATTGCAAAGTGTGACTGCAGGTTTAGTTTAATTCAAACAATTATTGGCATTTTATTGATTATAACTAGACCAATATTAAAGTTATTATTTTGTTTGTTACATTTTAAATGCTTTATATAGAAAGTTTAAAAAAATGCTTTAAAAGAAAGTTATATATATTAATAAGCGTTATATTTAAATGCGACAATAGTCAGATCTAATAAAAAAACAATAGTGACGAATAATCGAATTTTCAACCTTAAGATTGCGATAACTCGAAAAGTTACAGTCAGAAACACAAAATTTATATGCCATTACATTCGTGAGACGATTCTGCACTAGAATAAGTGAAAGAAATTTATATATATTAATAGGCGTTTAATTTAAATGCGACAAACATTATATACAAATATTCATTAAAACAATAAATTTAAGGACTGCAATTTTTCTTTTATTTGAAAGCAAAGATGATAACCAATTTATTTATCAGTAATGTATAATCATTTTTAAACAAATTGCTTAGAAAAATGTTTTTTTAAACATACTGTAGAATAAATTATCAAAAAGCAAAGAGAGAATAAAGTTTATGATTATTAAATTATCTTTTTGCAGTACTAATAATTGATTGTAATATTTTCAATTCTCACAATT